AAATACTGAAGTGATCAGATAGTGCCACGTCCTTAATAACAATGGATGAAATGTTTAGACCCCTACTGATGAGTAAATCTAGAGTATGTCCATGATTGTTTGTGGGTCCATGCACATGCTGAATCAGGTCAAAAGTATTTAAAACAGTTATAATTTCTTTTGTTATTTTGATTTCTGCATTATCTATGTGAATATTAAAATCCCCTGCAATAGCAAAACAGTCAAACTCTGAGGAAATCATTGATAACATTTCTGTGAACTCTTCAACAAATGCTGGAAAGTATTTTGGAGGCCTGTAAATAATGATAAACAAAATGCGTTGAGTACCTTTCAGCACAATCCCTAGATATTCAAAAGACAAGTACTGACCAAATGATACTTGCTTGCTTTGATAGACATCTTTCAATAGAGCAGCCACACCTCCACCTCTCCTAACATTCCTGCAGACACTCATGAAAGTAAAGTTAGGAGGGGCTGTTTCATTGAGGACTGTTGCACCGCAGCTATCTTATAGCCATGTTTCGTTTAGAATCATAAAATCCAGGTTGTTTGTGGTTATTAAGTCATTGATTAGAAATGATTTATTTTTTAGTGAGCGAATGTTTAAAAATGCTAACTTGATGGCGTTGCATTTTGTCTCAACAGCAATATTAGTTTGATGCATAACAGGAATAGAGAAAGCTACAGGCACACTGGGTTCCCGCTTGTGCAAACTGCATTATACTCATAAATCCGTAAAGTTATTAATTACAAGCTATAAAAATGGTGGACTTGATTTTTAGACTTGTCCACGTTAAATAAAACCATCAAAATTAACCAGTTAATATATAGATTTATATAAGATTGTACGATGTGGAATTTTATATTCAAATTTGTCTTTGATCAGCTTGGTGGTCTTTCATTTTTGATAATATGTGATTATAAATTTAATGAAATTGTCAGTTTTTCACAAGCAAGCTTAATTGCCATGGAAGTTAAAGGGGTCATATGATGCGATTTCAAGTTTTCATTTCTCTTTGGAGTGTTACAAGCTGTTCGTGCATAGATAAGATCACTAAAGTTGCAAAGACTAAAGTCTCAAACCCAAAGAGATATTCTTTATGAAAGTTAAGATTCGTCTACTCCCTCCTAAAACGCCTCGTTTAAACACACCCCCACATGTCTACGTCACTGTGTGGGAAGCTTTGCATAACACCGCTCAAATGTTTACTCAAAGAAAGAAGGCATGACTTTGATTCTCGCTTTGATTTTTTTGATTGACTTTGATTGTTGCTGCCGCCGCCATGTCATGGAGACGCTGTGTTTCGTGGTGAAAGCGAAACTACTTTGTTTGGTCTTCCAAAAGAGGACACAACTAGAAATCAGTGGTTAAGTTGTATTTACAACACTGTTCCAGAACAGTTCAACCCAAATATTCAGATGTGTGCAGCACATTTTACGGAGGACTGTTTCCTAAACCTGGGAGAGTAGCGTACAATGCCGTTTGCGCACAAAGGTTATTTCTATAAATTGGGGCAATTCCAACTTTGCAAGGACAGTCTGGCGATTCTGACTCACAGCCTGTAAGTACGTTTTTTATATTTAAATAATTTGCCAATGATGATTCAAACGTGAGTTTTGATCCGTAATTATGTCCCCACTGGATGCAACAAATGCCTCGTTTGTCGGGTTTTATTGGTTTTGTCTCGTTGCGCTGGGACACGGCATCACAGTATGGTAAGGGGCCTAACATTTCCGTCACACGCTTGAGGTATTTGGCCAATCACAACGCACTGGATAGCTGGCCAATCAAAGCACACCTCGCTTTTCAGACCGATGAGCTTTGTAAAAATCGACGCGTTTCATGAACGCGGGGCATAGAGGAGAAACAATAATGTACATTATGTGGAAAATAATGTGTTTTTGGAACCTTAAACTGCATAAACATTTCATTACACCAAATAATGTTTTTTTAGCAACGTCATATGACCCCTTTAATTTAGAAACACAATTTTCCCCACAATGTCATTAATGTAATGTTAAGAAATTGTATTTAGGAATCTTGTTTTGAGCTTTCTCTCTTTCTGGCTTTGTTTATGTTTTCCTTTCTCCATGTGACAGCTGCCTGCAGCTGATTGTTTTTGGTAATCAGTGCAGCCACTTGCTGTTTTCTCGCATGTTCTCACTCCTCTCTTTACTCGCCCTTTATCTATGCTTGCTTTGCACTTCTCCAGAGTGTTTTGTGCTATTGCTTACGCTAATTCTCTGCCCAGTCTCTAATGATTTGTTGTCATGCTATCTCCCTGCCCAGTTCGCTCTAGAACTTTTTACTTCGAGTGAGATATCATGAACAGTAATAACAAGCTATAAGCTTGTTATAAAGCTATTAAAACTAACGGATTTTAAGATGGTTATGAAATAAGGTCTGTTTGTTTAGGTATTTTATGTTATGTTACATTCTAAAAGAAAAAAAAAAAAAGATTAGCGAACCGGCAGTCAATTTATTATATAACAAGTTTTTTTTTTTTACAAACAAAAGATGTTTATTCAGCATACTGAGGCATTCCACTCAGATAGAATCTCTTCTGTCAGGATCCAACCTTCAGGATCCTCTCTTATCCCTCTGTAGGGTCAATGGGATGCTGGAGCCTATCCCAGCATCTTGGGTCACAGACAGGGAATACCCTGGTCTGACACACAGACACAAACACTCAGGCAATTTAGTGTCTCCAATTCACCAGTGCTGCATGTCTTTTTATTAGGGGGAAAATGAGCACATGGAGGAAGCCTACACAGGAAAAACATGCCAACTCCACTCAAAAAGACCACCTCCTGGCTCAGCCACAACTTGAAGAAGGGGACCTTCTTGTGAGGCACCATTCTGTTAGGATCCTGCTGCATTTTTATCTAAATTCCTTGGGGAGGGTCTATACCATGGGTTGGGTTCTCTCAGGAATTTCCCATGAGTCCCTGGCTATATATATTCATAATGCCCCAGCTATTTCTAGCTATGCAAGTACAGCTCCTATCTGTATGACTAGGAAAAAAGGGAACTAAATATGTAGTCAGTCGAAATTTACGTATCAATAACATATGAAATCAGAAAATAGATATGAAAACAATGGTATCATAAATTGTGCTTTTCAAGTGAGCTTTTCACAAAAAAGTGCATTGATAGCCTACTGATATGACAATAATTGTACATTTGTATTGCCTTAACGTTAGCTGCATACAACAAAAACAATCTACTACAAGTTGAGGAAAATATAAAAAGACAAACTAAAGAAAAGAGAAACATAAAATGAATAACATTAAATGATAAAAAGATTTGGGGATAAAAAATAAAAAAAATGTAAAATGGCTAAGAAAAAGAAAGAACATAATAGGCCTAAGTGTAATACTGATGATGAGCAAAAGACCCTCATATTCTTTTTGTGGTAAACCAGAAAAAAATGAAGCTCATGGACACAAAATTGATTTCTTTCCTTTTTTTTGCCATGTTTTTTTGTGTCCATTAATTCCTTTTCTTGTCATTATTGTTCCCTGCTTTCTATCTCTTGTATATCTCTTGTAGGACCAAATAACATTGCATAACATTGTGTTTAATTTAACTAGATGAATCTAATACAATCTGTGTCTATAATTAAGTTTTTTTTGCCTCTTTGTAACTTGTGAGCGGACGAACGTTTAACTTGTTTGTGACACATGAACGTAGCCTAAGGTAGCTCTCACATGGTAACTGTTACTTTTCTCTGCGCAGTTGACTGCTGACCAATAACAATCATTTGTGGTTAAAGGATAAAAAAGATTCTCGTCTTTTGCAGTGGCTGCTATAAAACAGTTTTGCAATTGTTATATGCATTTAAACGACAGCGTTGCTATGCACAGACTCGTCCAGCCATCCATGGCGCAATTAGTTTTAACAGATGCTTATTGAGCGATTACAATCCGTTAGGTTCATCCTTGTTTTGAGTCCAACCTCCGGTTTTTACGTCTTCAAGCGAATTCATCACCACACTACGCGGTTTTCGTTGCGTTATTTATGTACTCTCAATAGAGCCCTACGTACAAAAACTACGACATTAAACGGGGCGGGCTCAATTGCCTAGTTGTAGGCGACATTTTACTAAACCGAGAACGCACGAAGATGTTGATTTTCTAGCACAAAGCTGGCGTATTTTTCGCGGGTTTGTTCGTAAAAGTCACGATGTAAGGATTTGCACGCAGAATCTGCACCCTAACTTTGTCTAAAACACCCTCATTCAACATATTACATCTTCACCGATTTCAGAAATAGACATTTCCACAAACCAGGAGGGACCAGCGTTACTTCGTTTCGTTCTGGAGGAAACAGTTTATTCTGCTAGGGTTTTACTTTACAGCAAGGCAAAAGGAGATGAGAGGAAGTTCATATGGAGACCGAGACAGAGATCGAGGACGGGACAGGGGGTGGGCCTTTATATTTAATTGATGTTTGTTTATTAATGTGTATAAAAACATTTATTAAAATCAGTTTATATGGAGATGAGATATTAGGCAATTGATTATTTGGTCCCAGAAACAGATTTAGCTACTTGTCTATACACTCCTGGCAAACAATGTTTATCACTGGCCGCATTCAAAGTTAAAAATCTTTAACAGGCCTCGCTTTGGATCCAGTCGAGTTGCCCCACCTCCACCCAAGAAGTTTGGGAATCCAGGAGATCGGCTGAGGAAGAAGAAATGGGACATGGACCAGCTACCCAAGTTTGAGAAGAACTTCTACAGTGAACACCCAGAGGTTCATCACATGAGTCAGGTAATAAATAGCAATATATATATATATACACACACACACACATACACACACACTCACACAATGGAGTTCAAAATTAGAGAACAACCTATATATATATATATACACACACACACACATACACACACACTCACACAATGGAGTTCAAAATTAGAGAACAACCTATCTTATCGAACCTTATCCTAACAGGAGTAGAATGGCAGTTTATCCTTATTTAATCCAAACTATATTTAAATATTTAAATTAAATAGCTTCTCCAATATTTGACCAATGCTTTACGACAGAAACGCTACAGTGACTGACATTTCTTTATCAAAACATGCAAAACCAAAGACAAACTCACTCGACAAGCTCTCGTTCAACAATGACCAAATAAAAACAAGGTGACTCAACTGGGACTATTACAGCCAGCCAACTGGAAACTTTCAGTAGGAAAAAAACTAAAACCACTGTATTCTCTTGCCAGGACTCTTGTCATTAACTCTGTGTAAACCACAAGAGTATGTATATTCTGTACAAACAGTTAAAGACATGGGAAAATGCACAGAATTACTGTTATTTTAAGCATATTTCATAAATTGTATTCTGAAGCACTGTATAAACAATTTAAATTAGATATTTGAAAAATATCTGGCACCTGGTGCTAATTTTCTTAATTATATGACAACCCCTATTTAACTGGCAGCATTCTTCCAATTTTCACTGAGATTGCAAGATGACGGGCTGCTCTAAGATGACTGAAACCCTGCGACAGGAGGTTGTCCAGATGAAGGCTAAAGGGATGAATGACCCTTGCAGCCACTGCACAAGAAGTTTGCTGTTCCAAATCTGTAATTTCTCGAATATTGCAGCTTTACAATGACACTAATTCATTCAAGTACCCCAAAAAAGGTTGGTCATCCACATAAGACAAATGCAGGAGAAGGCAGGATAATGCGGATTCTCTCAATGGGAAATCGGTTCAACACTGCAGCTGAAAATGCTTGCCAGTTCAGCGATGAACAGGGTAAGGATCTGTCTCGGCACGTTTAAAGGGTTAGTTCACCCAAAAATGAAAATTACCCCATGATTTACTTACCCTCAAGCCATCCTAGATGTATATGACTTTCTTCTTTCAGACGAATACAATCGGAGTTATATTAAAAAACATCCTGGCTCTTCCAAGCTTTATAATGGGAGTGGATGGTAGCCCAAAATTTGAAGTCCAAAAAATTGAACCAATCCATTATAAAAGAAGTCCACACAGCTCTGGGGGTTAATAAAGGCCTCCCGAAGCGAAGCGATGCATTTGTGTAAGAAAAATATCCATTTTATAAACCTTAATCTCTAACTTCTGCTAACTGTCGTACGCGCTTTCACAAGAGAGTGGCGTCCAGCGGATGATGTAGGTGTTTTGTAAACTCCGGTGAGAATATGCTAGTCTCGCGAGAAACAAGTTTTGTTTACAGCAAAGGAAAACCAGTGTCCTCTTGGCTTATATTGAAATCCTCCGACATTTTTCTTTACAAATCCTCGTTTTGTACTACTAATTTGTGACCGTGTTTTGTTTTGCTCTCTCCTCTGCGCTAGCGAGAGCAAGCTTAATGTATTTGGGTCTGATGGGAGACGTTTTGTTTGGCATCAAACTGGGGAAAGACTGAAGCCCAAGTGCGTAAAGAAGTCAGTGAAAGGTGGAGGAGGAAGTGTCATGGTTTGGGGGATGTTTTCTGCAGCAGGAGTTGGGCCTCTTATACAGCTACATGGCAGGGTGAATGCAAATGTTTACCAGAACCAACATGTAGTTCCTTCCCTGCAAGCATCTCCCAACCAGCCTGCAATTTTCATGCAAGACAATGCTCCCCGTCACACAGCTAAACAGATAAAGCAGTTCCTTGAAGCCAAGAACATTGAAATAATGAAATGGCCTTCCCAGAGTCCTGATCTAAACCTGATTGAAAATCTCTGGAAAATCCTTGGCGACAAAGTTATGGCTAAGAAACCCATTACAGTTACCGAACAATGGAAGAGAGTGGAAGAAGAGTGGACCAAGATCACACCAGTGCAGTGTGAGAAACTAGTGATGTCCTGCGGCCGCAGATGTGCGCAGAAGTCACTCAAAGCAAGGGACTCTACACTTCCTACTAATTTCTGACAGCTGTAACTAGGGCTGGGTGGTATATATTGTACGATATATTGATATTCTTTTTATAAGCGATATTGTATGAGGCAGTATATATCGATATACAGTAGTTTGATACGAGCACGCTGAAAAAGGACACAGAGTGAGCTGCTGTGGGGAAAGTGCATAATCCAATTTGTCCTAAACATGAGATGCTTATATAAGGGCTTTAAAATAACTCGTAAGATATAGTTAACACGTATAGTTTAAAGTGGTTTATCCTGTCAGATGCTCTGACAGACACATGCTGCTGACAGAGACGCTACTTGTGCTGTTTAATGCGTTTGATATGTGTTCCAAAAAAATAAAAAATACAGAGATTTTTTTTTTTTTTGGCCATATCGCTCAGCCCTAGCTGTAACCCTCCAACATTTTAGTTGTAATCTACAGTGGTTACTGTTCTCTAATTTTGATCACTGTTTTTTTTTTCCACAAAATAAATGTTTTTGTTGAAATGCCTTGGTTATTTTGTCAAAGTGTTAGTGGAACAGAGTTATATCTACAGCTAATATTTCTTTAAATTTTAAGCGATGAAGATGATCAATATTTCAGAAAAAAATTAAGTATTTATAGATTGTTCTCTAATTTTGATCTCCACTGTATGTATGTACAGTGCACAGCATAAATGAGTACACCCCCTCTGAAACTTAACAAATTCAGCAATTACTCTTTGCTTAGAAGACAGAGATTTTTTAGAGATATAATATTCCAGCAAGTCTGCTTGATCGGTTACCAAAGAAGAATGTTAAAATGATTCAAGAAAATACCATTTTCTTATCAAAGTGATAAAATGTTGTGTTGCAAAAATGAGTACACCCTCTTGAAAGTTACTAAATAAAACAAAACAAAAAAAAAATTCTGGTGTAAGGTTAAGGCAAGTATTGATCAACAGGTAAGTATGTTGAACCAAAACTGTTAAAGGTAAGTAATTTCTTGATAATTAAGTGTTATATGGCCCACTGAATCATACTCAGACTTGATGCTGACAACAATTAAACCACTTGAGAGAGAACTGTCTGGAGATTTATTTCGTAGCATAAAAGAGGACAATGGTACAAGAGGAATAGCAAATGATTGTTTTAAGTGTGAAAATATAGCCAAAGTAACAGAAATTCAAAAACAATGGACTTGTGAAAAGGCCCCTGAAATAATCAGGTCTTCACTTTAAGCTTTCATTTAAAATGGGCTAAGTTTCTTATTTTACAGATATTAATGGCATGTATTTTTCTGTTTTTATTAAGAATATGTTTAATACATTTCAATTTTGCCATCTTTCTATGAATTATATAGTGAACTTTTGTGTTCTACAATTTTGCCTTGATTTTTATTTCAACTTTTATATTGAATAGTATGATGTTGAAGAATATTGCCGGAAGAAAGAGATCACTGTCAGAGGCTCCGGCTGTCCAAAGCCTGTCACCAACTTCCATCAAGCTCAATTCCCTCGTGAGTTTAATTCATATCAGAATCACTGTTCTTTTTGAATTGATTTTGAATGGAATCTGTTCAACAATATTCATGCACGCACAGGACAAATGTTTGCATGCCAGTTTTTTTCTTTTCAGTGAGTGTGTTGAATTTTTTTTTTCTTTGTCTGGCAATGAAAACACACTCATTAATAAAATTTCCTCTTCTTGTAGTATTTTCTTCCAGTAAAAATCACACTGCCACCTACAGCTACATTTTTAAACAGTGCAGTGATGTCCGATTTTATGTTTTTATCCTTTGGAATTAGGAAAAGATAGTAAGGAAATTTGAAAGAAATGTTTTTGTTCTGTCATAAGCCAACGTTGATGTTAAAAACATCAGGTCTTGTAGAGCAGTGATTGCATATAAGAATATTGAAGTGATGTTTCTGTGTTTTAAGAATATGTGATGGATGTGCTGCTGCAGCAGAACTTTAAGGAGCCCACTGCTATCCAGGCTCAAGGTTTTCCTTTGGCTCTCAGTGGCAGGGACATGGTGGGCATTGCTCAGACCGGCTCCGGAAAAACACTGGCTGTAAGAGACCCACATTTACAACCTACAGCCATAGAAAATGCACATACTCGAGTATCCATCCCAAGTGATCTCATGTTTACTCATTTCAATATCCTCAACAGTATCTGCTGCCTGCCATAGTGCATATTAACCATCAGCCCTACCTGGAGAGAGGGGATGGGCCCATTGTAAGTTGCCAAACAACTTTTACCTCAATAATTAGGCACTGATTAAGAACCGGAACAATATACAATTGTTTTTTGATGTACTGTAGGACCAGAATGAATCCATAGTGCTTTGTTAGCACATTCTTCAGTTATGCCATTTTTTTCCTGCTCTCTGTTCTGTTTAGTGTCTTGTGTTGGCACCGACGCGTGAATTAGCCCAGCAGGTGCAGCAAGTGGCTTATGACTATGGCAAATCATCTCGGATCAAGAGTACCTGTGTTTATGGTGGAGCCCCTAAGGGTCCACAGATCAGAGATTTAGAAAGAGGTATGGGAACTAACCCACATCTACAACTCTTTTTTTTTTATACAGTATACCTGTTGTTAATGCATATTGATATTATCATCTTTTAGGGCTGCATGATAATGATAATCAAGGTTATTTGCTCAAAATTATAATCATGATTACTCTGAGAACAGTTTTTATTTTTTACTTGCTGTCAGACTAAATGTACATAATTAAAGCCTTTGCCAGTAAAAATAGCACATAGTAACCTGGTCAGTTTGACCAAATGAGCTGTACATTTTCTGTCATGCTCTATTTTTATCCTTCTGGAAAATAATATAGCACTCGGCCTGCTCTCCCAATTTAATGAATGATATCCCATGAATAATTTACTGGAATGCACTGATATAGACTTAAATTTATTACTACAGTAATATTTAAGACATCTGTAATGTTGCTGTTGAAAGACTAATCTGAGCTCTTGGGGTTAGTCTTGGTCTGCTTTTCGTTTTTTTATGTTTAATGATAGAGGTGTGAGGAGAATAACATCACCTCATTTTAGAAAATGTATATTTTGAAAATTGTAAGTCTGTTATTACATTCATAAAGCAAAACTTTAAACAAGTTCATTGGTAGTCGCTGATTGTCAACATTTCAATGGAAGTTACTCTCCCATAAGTTGTGCAAAGTGTCATGGGCTGTAGGAAAAAGGTGGATAGAGCTGTGGTTCTCAACCCTTTTCCTGAACAAGTGTAATAGTAACTCTGATTATTTTTGGATTAATTGACCAGCAACACTTAAGGGCTTTTCTTTCAGTAAACATTGTTTGACTTCCTAAAGGTGTTGAAATCTGCATTGCCACACCTGGCCGTCTGATCGATTTCCTGGAGGCAGGAAAAACCAACCTGCGCCGTTGCACCTACCTAGTGCTGGATGAGGCTGATCGTATGTTGGACATGGGATTTGAACCCCAAATCCGCAAAATTGTTGACCAAATTAGAGTAAGTACAGTTTTCACTTGGAACATGTACAGTATTTAAAAGTTCATGGATGTTAACATTACATACATATTCTTCTAGATCAGGGGTCTTCAACGTTTTTCAGGGCAAGAACCCCTTATATATAGAGGCAATAGAGACATGGAGCAGGGACTCCCTGATACAAGCTGAGCTACATGTTAAGCATATAGCCTTCGTTATTAATAGAAACTAACCATATTATTATTAAGAATAAATTATATGTATATTAAGAGGGTAGATCAGAACTATGCACATTATTGTTGTTTTGACGCTTTCTCTGTGCCGTTTTAAATCCCATAATACACCGCGCGAGCGTTTAAGCTCAACTTCCATAGGAATGAATTGAAATCGCTCGCTACGTGCCAGTGCAAACGCACCGTTAAGCTTCAAGTTTACTAAAACTTAACATTTCAATTTTACTAGGAGATTGACAATTAAAGGTCACATATTTTACACCTTTCTGGAGTTTTATTTTAGGATTTGATGTCCTTAAGAATATATATTTGCGGTATAAGTAACATGTTTCCGTGTTGTTGCTGCTCAGCAATGGCATGGACGCGATGTTGTCTGGGGGTTTGGCAAAAGGAGAGTGGGACTGTGGGCGGTGCTCGGGGTGGTGACTGAAGGCGGTGACTGTGTAGTTCTGATGTCAACTTTTTACGGAAGTCACAACGGTTCGTGAAAAATCACAGCTACTTTATGCAGGCTGTGTGCATTTTACTGTAGACTGACTGTTTTGAAACTTATATGGTAGTTAAATAGCCCCTAGACCTAAATTATCTTGGAAAAAAGCCAGGAAATTTCAGTTTTGACAATATGGGACCTTTAAGAATCAAATCGCTGAGTATCTGAAATTAGTGAGGGTTTTCTAATTAAGTGCAGATGTAATGTGTAAGCAAGGGCTCCACCATGACAAGAATAGCAATGTACAGTGAGACATTTAAGATTATTTACAAGGTATTACTTTTACAAATAATTGGAATGGAATTTAAAAGATATATTTGATACAAATATTTTTCTAGTAATCTGTTAGTCTGCATTTACTTTGCGTATATCTATTTTGACATTCCATATTTTTGTCCCGTGCTAGGATCACTGTCAATCGCAGCTTCAGACTGAATCACACATTTATATGTAGATGTCACTTCCAAAACTTTGCAGCGTGTAATTAGCCGTCAGTCCTATTAGCAGCATAAAAAAACAATACTTTTATTCAACGGATTATAGCTATATAGCCTCGAAGGTGCGAAAGACCGCTGCCTTTACAATCACTAAAAAGCTGTCCCTCATCTCAGTTCGCGATCTCACAGCGTTCCATTAAAATCAACAAAGTTATCTACACTGCATAATGAATCTCTTATTGTAATGAATCGTTAATGAGAGAGGATTAGCGAGAGCGAGCATAACTCAGCACTGAACAAAAACTGCCATTTTAAGCATTGAGTGGATTCTAACTTAAACACCCCTGATTGGCCATTGTGTTCAAGAGATCAACAAACATGTCTGTGATTGGCATTGGCTCAAACTCAGAAATGCAATAGAGCGTTTGCTAAATCTGTTTCGCCAGTAATATTATATCATTACAGTATCAACTGAGGGTGCTCTTGCTTTCGTTTCAGGGTGCTTATATTTAAAATTGACTTTGTGTTGTTGTTTTTTTTACCTATGTTTAAATTTTTTTTACAAAAAAAAATATTTGTGATAAAACATTAATTGGCGGACCCCTGCAGTACCGAAGCGGACCCCCGGTTGAAGACCCTTGTTCTAGACTTAAAGTTGAAGCTCTGAATATATTTAATTATGATAAATCTTTTAATAGGGCTGTAAAATCTATTAATCATGATTAATCGCTTCCAAAATAAAAATGTGTTTACATAATATATGTGTGTGCACTGTGTATATTTATATATATATAAATACACATATGTACATGTATATATTTAAGAAATATATAATTTATATATGAATTATATATACATTTATATTACATATATTTCTTAAATATATACATGTATGTGTGTGTATTTATATATACATATAAATAAATACAGTGCACACACCTCCGTGACTATGTCCAAATCAATATAGGAGCTCTAGAACTGAGCGCAAACCACAACATCCTGCAGATAGTGGACGTCTGCATGGAGAATGAAAAAGACACCAAGTGAGCTGATTTAACCATGTATCTAATAAAGTGTTGGATATGACATTTTATGAGCTTTTAATAAGTTATTTGGGTATTGTGATTTGTGTTGGTTTACTTTCCTGTTTGCCTGTACAAATCAAGATGAAAATGTTCCAAATAATTTTTTTTGTGCTTAAAGGCTGATTCAGCTGATGGAGGAAATCATGGCTGAAAAGGAGAACAAAACAATCATCTTTGTCGAGACAAAGAAACGTTGTGATGAACTTACTCAGAGGATGCGAAGAGATGGGTGAGAGATCTTTATAATCCCTCATATTTAAAAACAGGTTTTTATAAAAATCATATAAAATGCTGATGTAATGTATGTTGTGTCTTTATTCAGGTGGCCTGCAATGTGTATTCATGGTGACAAGAGCCAACCAGAGAGGGACTGGGTACTATCAGGTAAAGTTTTTAAGCTTCATATTTTATTAAAGAAGGCTATCACAATTTGGCCTGCCTGTTCTCATTATGTTGCACCTTGTATTTCCAGAGTTCCGCAGTGGAAAAGCTCCAATTTTGATTGCTACTGACGTTGCCTCACGGGGTCTGGGTATGTTCTGACACTTCATTCTTATCCAGAAACCATATCTGAATTTTATTTTTTAAATACAGAACTGAATGTTTTTTGATATCCAGTAAATAATTCAGACAGTATATAGTGAACACACTGACAACTACAACATTGACACATTCAGTCACATATTTTTAGTTTTAAAATTTTAGCTGACGTCTCAAACTTTTGTGCCAATAAAGAGAGCCACTGGTTAAGCAGATGTCATTTGCAGGGATGCAAACATCTTTTTGGAGAAGTTTGTTGTTTTGCAAAAATTGGTCACTTTCATAATTTGTGCTATAAGGTTTGACTTTAAAAGCTTTAACCTTACAATCATGAAATCATAAAAACTGATTGAAATGTGTGTTTGAAGCTTATTCTTTCACGAAAAATTCAGACTGAACATGTCCTCTGATATGTAGTTGTCTCACCTTTTTGACCTCTTATGTGTTTGCATCCCTGCAAACAACTAATCAAACAGTGTTTTCAAATTAATGTTACATTTATTTTGTGTCACAGACACCTAAATGATTGTATTATGATAAATAATGACAGCGCAAATAAGCACCCCAACATCATATCATATGAATAACAACATATCAGTAACATATCAATGAAACATGGTCCATGCTTTCTGGGGGAATTTAAAGGTCCCATATTGTCAAAACTGAAATTTCCTGGCTTTTTTCACGATAACTGAGGTCTAGGGGCTATTTAACTACCATATAAGTTTCAAAACAGTCAGTCCACAGTAAAATGCACACAGCCTGCATAAAGTAGCTGTGATTTTTCACGAACCGTTGTGAATTCCGTAAAAAGTTGACGTCAGAACTACACAGTCACCGCCTTCAGTCACCACCCCGAGCACTGCCCACCGTCCCACTCTCCTTTTGCCAAACCCCCAGACAACATCGCGTCCATGCCATTGCTGAGCAACAACAACAGGAAACATGTCGAAAAGGTTAACTTTAACCACGAAACCAGATCGGCCGACCTGTAACGTTACACTCTCACTCAAAGGATGGACGATCTGACAGGATTGTTACTATGAGGTGGATCACATCTAACGTGTATAGTAAAGACAAACTCACCGTGTCTATCTAGTCATGATGAAGATGTATATACATTTCAATTTCAGAAGGCAACTATTTTTACAGCTACATTATTGTTCCAGCCACAATCAATCACAAATGATTATATATAAATTGTCAGTTTGTTG